CTGCGGGCCGGGGTCCCCCCACCCAGCGCCCCGCTGCCCTCCGAGGCCCAGAAGAACCCCTGGATGTGGGGAAGGCAGCGTGGGGCCCGCGCCGCCGCTAGCGGGGCAAGGAGCTGTCAAACAAAGTCCTTTTTTAGCACGTCCCGAAGCTCTAAAGGACCAGGCGGCTTCAGATATTTTCCTACGAGATGTAACAGTAGGGGTAGTACGAAGCGAGTTTCATTTTTCCTTAAATAATAATAATAAAGGAAGAGACGCGGGAGACGAGAAACAGCGACCCGAAACAGTCTTTTAAAAAAAATACATAGGCAAAAGAGAAAAAAAAAAGAAAAAAAATGAAAAAAGAAAAAAAAGAAAAGCAAAAGAAAGAAAGAAAAGAAAAACAACAACAAAAAAGAGGAAACAAGCAAACAAAAAAAAACGGAAGAATCGGAGAGGATTTAAAACAGGGAACGATCGGTTTTAAAATGCCCTACTAATATATCGAAAGAAAGGATAAATCAAGCCAACGAAATGGCACCACATAAACAGCACATTGTGCATATGTATATAAATATAAAATACGTTTATATATACACAAGCATGTATATACTAAAATAAAGAATTACAGTCAGCCTGGATCCTGAACACAGTCTACATTTTATTTCAGACTACAGATTTCTGAACATAATAAAATCTTTGGCTTGTAGCGGCGGGTTCAGTCTCGCAGTCTGTGGATCAGATTTTTATTTTCCTCGGGAAAAAAAAAGAAAAAAAAGAGACAGAAATTCACACACACACAAAAATAAAAATCAAACGAAAGATCAGGAAAATCGGACATTTACTGTAAAGCAAGAGCAACGAACATCGAAAGGGAAAGGAAAGCAAACAAAACAAACGAACGAACAAAAGAGGAGAAGAGAGAACGGCAGAGAGAAACTGTCCAGCAAATAGAGATCGCTACACATATTCCTTACCTGAAATTAAATATATACAAGGTCATATGCTGTTTGGCTATATAGAGATTTTTTTGTAAGTGTTCATATTATTATTATTAATTTTTTTTAAGTGGAGTCCTTATACTATGGATAGACAATAGATCTGGTTTTAAATAGCACCTGTGCGCGCAGGGCTCCGCGGGGCGCCTACTCGCTCTCCTCTTTGTCCTGCACCGTAGTCGTGGAGTGGTTGTAGAGTCCCTGGGCCATGAGGTGCAGCGCCAGCCCGTTCTTGATGCCCGTCGCTTTCTTGATCTTGGCGCGCTTGTTCTGGAACCAGATCTTGATCTGCGACTCGTTGAGGCTGAGCTCCTGGGCCAGGCGCTGCCGCCGCTGCTCCGTGATGTACCGGTTGGCCTGAAACTCCGCCTTGAGCCGCTGCAGCTGCTCGGCCGTGAAGGCGGTGCGCGGCCGCTTGTCCTCCTTCTCGCTCTTCTTCTTCTTCAGCTTCCTGGTGCGCGGGCCTGCGGGCAGGGCACACACGCGCCGCTGGGCTGGGCCGCGCAGCGCTCCGCGCGCCGCGGGCGAAGGGGATGGGGGTAAAGGG